TCATGTTGCCCCTCACTGCCTTTTTACTTGATGTACTGACATGAGCTGTGGCAACTCAGAACGTTACTCATTGTTGCCTGGTCATATATTGATATCGATGATGATGAAGATCATGACAGCAAAGTTCAACTCAGAAGGAAGGAAAGTCACAATCATACAATGCTACACTACACTACGCACCTACAAATAATGCACACCAAGAGAAGAAGGAGGAATTCTACAGACAACTGCAATCAGTAATGGCCAAGACCACAACCCAGATGGTGACATCAAAATTCATTCTAATGGGTGGGGTGACATGAATGCCAAACTAGGAGCAGACAACACACGAAGAGGAGCAATCACAGGTCGAAAGGCACTCGGTGAAATGGTGAATGAGAATGGAGAACTGTTTGCAGAATTCTGCGCATTCAACGATTCGGTGATTGGTGGCGAGGCAGTGTGTACAAACACAAGGATATTTATTCAGAAAGCGATGTGGATTTCATCAGACACCATGACACACTACAGTGAAAATCAGATCGACTTCATGTCAATGTGAAGAAAGTGGAGACGCAGCCTACCAGACACAAGATGAAGAAGAGGAGGAGCAGATGTAGGTTCACACCACTCAATACCTAACTAGTGCAAGGAAACGTCAAAATTAAGTTTAAAACTTTCAAAGAAGCTGGTGATAGACCACAGTTCAATTTCTACACCCACCTAGAACAGAAACTGAAGAACGAAACTACAAAGGACATCTTCACTTCAGTCAGTCAGTCAGTCACCAGAACAGAATGGGAGATATTGAGCAACATCCCTGAAAAAACCTGAGTGGAAGAACACTAGAGAACTGAACACAACCTATAAAACACTACACTGGAGAAAGAAGTGAAGAAGAGTGCACGCAAAGACAAAAGACACTTCTACGACACACTGACAAGTGAAGCAGAACAGGCTGCAGGTAAGAGAGACAGAGACCTTACATCATTATATCAAATAACCTAACCAGGTTACTTACTATCTGGGAGGAGAGAGATCAACACACATGAAACCAATGAAAGATAGTGAAGGAGACTCAGATACCACCAAAGAGGAGAAACAAACGAAGCGATAAGCTAACCACTTCGAAAAACTCTTGAATCGACCATCACCACCACCACCACCACCTGCAACTCGTCCACAAATACCAACAGACGCCCAGCCACAGAACAGTCAGTGAACACAAGCCTTCCGACAAAAGCAGAAGTGAAGTCCTGAACGCCATAAAGCTGCTGAAATCCGGGGAAGCAGCAGGACCAGATGGAATTCCGCCAGAAACACTGAAAACAAATGCAGGGACAACAGCCAACATGCTCACACCACTATTACACAAGGTTTGCAAGGAAGGAAGGAAGGAAGGAAGGAAGGAAAGGTATCTTGAGATTGGAAGAAGGGCTACCTTGTCAAACTCCAAAGAACAGTCGTCACCCAAAAACTGGTGTGGAATCATGCTGCTATCCACCCCAACCAAAATATTAGGCCGCATCATCCTGGAGAGACTGGAAAATGCTCTCGATTCAAAATTACAACACGAACTGGCTGACTGACTGACTGGCTTCAAGGAAAAAAAATCATGTGCAGATCAAATTACAACCCCACGCTACACATCATCATAGAACAGAGCATAGAATGCCAGTCAACTCAACTTCATCGATTTCGGAAACGCCTTCGAGGGCGTCGACCGAGAAGTAATTTGACTGGCAGCTGCTTCAATACTACGGTTTTAGTACGACAAACATCACCTCTATCAACCTCATTCAACAGCAGCTATATACCACATGGTGCTACATGCCAAGTAATTCACAATGGAAAGCTTAGTAATGCCTTTGAAGTGAAGACAAGAGTAAAACAAGGCTGCCGTCTACCATCACCGATGAGCTTCCTGATTGTGGTCGACTGGACTGGACTGAACTGAACTGGAGTAGAGTGGACTGGATCATGCAACAGACAACTGTGAGAAACGAGAATAGGGGCACACGCTGGCTGGACAGATGAAAAGACCCCAGAAGAAGATTTGCATTTCGCCAACGATGATCAGGATGATGATAATTTATGTCTAATGTCTTGTCGCACAAACTCGAAGATCTACAGACGAAAACCAACAAGTTAGCAGAAGTGGCAGGGCAGCGAAGACGGGACTTCCTCCAGGTGAACGTAGAAAAGACAGAGGTGATGAAGATACCCAACCATCACCACCAACAACAACAACAAGCACCAATCAACATCAACGAGAGAAATCTAAAGGAAGTTATCTCTTTCACCTGCCTCCCTACCTAAACAACATCGTTTCAACTACAGGATCACAAAGGCAACAAGACAGGCCTTCCTGCATTAACCACTGTGGAGATCTACTCCACTCCACTCCACTCAGCATAAAGCGTGAACGACATCCGGATTTTTGACACTGATATCAGTCAAGTCAGTGCTTCCATGTGAGGCTTCAGAGACTTGGTGCGTTACGAAAAGCATTTGCAACAAACTACAGACATTCATCAACACCTGCCACCTACACTCACTCGATACTGACACTGAAGATCAGATGGATGGCCAGAATAATAAGAATAGGCAACAAGCAACTGTGGCTGGCTGGCACCAAACCAACCAACCAAGAACCCACAACGCCCAACAACTATGCAGAAGACGAAAGTGGAGATGGGTTGGACTAGGCATACACTGAGAAGACCATTTGGGGACTTGACATGCCAGACCAGGTCCTTGAGTATAATCCAATGGGGAAACGAAGAGTTGGGCGTGCGTCCCAGCTGAGGGTGACATGGAGAAGATGGTGTGAGGAAGAAATGAAAGTTTGTGGGCAGTGGTGGATCGAGGTTGAAAAGACTGCAGAGAACAGAGTGGAACAGCGATGTGCTACTGAAGCCCTATATTCCACTATGAATTGAAGGGATAAATATTAATGATAATGTACAAATTAACATTAACGCCATTATAGAGTGCGTTAGCCCATCATTTCGTGGTTCGGTTCTTCATGGGTAAGAGACCGCCTGGCAATATGGTTTAAAATCTGTCAAAATGGTGTTAACTTATTCTCTATTCCATCTTAAAAATTATAAACCTTTTTCTGAACTCCATTCATTTATTCCACCTCGTATGCATTTTCTACGTTAATATTATTCTTTTTTATGAAATCTCTTTTTGTGTGATTGCAAAATATGGCAACTTAACTGAAACACTTGCTCACTAATTTTCACTTCGGTATATCCGTTCTCCTGTATCTTAGCCATCATGTACAGTGTGCAAAAACTATTAGCAATTAGCTCTATAGGGTGGCGAAACAAAATATATTCAAAACCAAGAGATCCACAGTACCGATTAGCAAACAACATTATGAAGATAGAAAGCGAAAGAGGGAATGGGAACATTACGAAGTGGGTTATTGAGGAAGTAGAATCAAAGATAAATCTGGAGAAGCGTTCGCTACTCTCGTTTTGCGTTTCAGTGATACAAGAAAAAAGGATGCTAAGGCGTAATCACCACTAGTGTCGATTGTGAGACGTGTCTACTGTCGTCTCAAGCCACTGAGTTATGTGAGCTCACGAACCTCACACAAAGAGTTATGTGTTGTGCTACCCTAGGATAACTATCCGTCATCCGACGGCGCCACATCATGCACTGATCACCTCTTCTCTTTTTCCAATCAGTCTCAGGACAAGCTAACGGTGAGCGGAATGGTAGCCACTGAGATGATATGCGTGACTCGTGTCTAGGCCACGGATGTCAGTATTTCAAGATAACCACGTCCAACAAATGAATCATATGTAACTGGTTATTTTTCAAAACTAACTTGTTTTTGCCGTAAAACTGAAAGGAGACACTTGCCAGATGACTAGTGACGCAACTAAGAAACGTTTCTCATTACAGGAAGACTCATCTTTAATCGGCTTGACAACATGAAACCTGGATATAATCAACCACTGGTTGGAAAATATTCGCAATATGACTCAAAGAGGATTGCTGTGAACCAGTGCCATTTATTTCTTGCTCCTGAAATCCAAAACATTTGTTAGTGAAGTCTATGAATACCAACATGGGGTCTGGGGCCTACGATTACCGCGTAATGCTCTAAGCTGCCACGTCATATCAGCACAAACGATAGTGCACCAAAGTGAAAGATAAATATAAGGAAGAAGAAAGTCAACAATGGTAGATACTCTTGGAAAGAGGGGAGCTACGAATGAAACAACACTGAAATTCAGGATGACGATTTAGATGAGGAAAATGTATGGATACATCGGCGACATTCAGATCCATTCTCCTAGCCCTCAACCGCCGGTTTTGGTTGTCATGCGGACTGCAACCTGGATCCGAAGCCGATTAATCTTCCTGCATCGATTTTCTTTTCTTTCATCCTCTTACCTATTCTGATATCAATCTACTGTTGATTTCATGCTTCTGTGACTTCTATAAGTGTAGTGAGCTTAATTACCTAAATTTGTGCGGTCTTACTGGGTGCCAGTCTTAGAGATGAGAGGTTGGAATAAGTCTTAGGTGAGAAATAAGTTTGTTCACTGCATATCGAAAAGCAAAGCAACATACACCAATATAATGAAGGGATTTTGGATTAATTAAGTCGAGATATGGCATCCATCTTTGAAGTCCCTGACTTTGTCTGTGTGTAGCCGTTTTTAAACCTCCTAAGATGAATTAGCGAGACAACCGAAATTAATGGTTCAGAACATGAGAACAGAGTGACAAATTGGTCGCAGTTGTACAGACGTAGCTGCTTTTATCATATCTACTCCCTGTTTTGATAGATGACATGAACTGTTAACTTAATATCCGATTCTTGGTACCTTAGGCTAGTCTTTTAGGTGGTTTTGTTTTGTATTAATTCACGAGACAATTCTCAGAATACGTAGTGCAAATTCTTCACTTTCTGTTTGTGCAGTTTGTTTTCATATGTTCATCCATTTTATTCTAATGAAAACTTGATCTATCTGACTTCTATTCCCTTGTTTCAGACAAAGCACACTCTAATGAGCTCTTTACCTACGGAGGAGTTATTCGTTTGGGGTTCATGTGAAGATGGCCAACTGATCATTGATAATACTGATGCATGTCAAATTTTAGTCCCCAAAGCACTAAACGGTTACAACCTACCGGAATTTATCCAAATCAGCTGTGGGTACAAACACACGATGTTTCTGACAGTTGATGGCGAAGTATACAGCTGTGGTTGCAATGAATTCCAACAATTAGGCCACCAACAACCTGATGGTCGGCTAGGAAAAGTATGTTCATATTATTTTATTCCTGACGGCTTTTGATATCATTTTAATGGGTCATTGGTCTGAGTGCTTGACTTTTGACCAATGAGTGATAGATAAAAACCTACTTCATCTACATAGGTTCGGTTAAATAAGAAGTACCATTAACCCTGACTCTAGGTATCACTCATAACCCGAGTTGCATATTTGTGACACAACTGTCGGTGTCTCATTGTGCTCATTCTTTTTAGCGTAACTAAAATGGTCATAATACGAAGTCTGACAGCACACTCCACTTCTGAAACTGAAAAACCTGAACCTAATAATTTTGGTATGTTGAGTAGAAGCAACAGAAAAAGAATACATATATCGTACACAGCATCCATGCCTTTAAAATAAAAAAATATCTTCAATTCTTTTCTAAACACGTTGATGGGGTTATGATAACTGTAGTGAAATAGCATGAAGGTGGAACATCGGTTGGTCTACCTCATATGCGTTTTGTTCTTGCAACTTGAAAGGTGGCGTGTGTCTACCTCTATCTAGGTTGATGCAACGACACAATATCACACTACGATCATTGAGCTATTTGTCTTAACTCTGAACATTCTTTGCGTACTACAGAATCAATATGATGTGACATATCGTTGTAAAACGTACTTGTCAATATAAGTTGGAAGTCGTTTAAATCAACAGCGCTCACAGGTTGTTGAAGTGATCTAAACATGAAATGACCATTACAGTTACTTATAGTTGATGTTGTATGTAGTATAAAGACTGTATGATTGAGTTCAATATGTTCTGAGACCCTTACTGCTGAATTCTATTGGTCTGTTTAATTTTTGTTATGAATGAACGTTGAGCTAAATATGGTTCCTTTTGTGTACTTTTATTTTCCACACTAGGTAACCGTTTTAGAGCACTACAGGATAACAAGTATTGCTTGTGGAGCGTATCATAATGCTGCTGTCACTTATAACGGACTTCTTTTCACTTGGGGTTGTAATTCTAATGGACAGCTTGGTCGTGAAGGCGATAATACAGGAGTGAAACTTGTTCGTGCATTATCTGATCATAGAGTTGTTCAGGTTAGTTTCTTCTGATCTCCATGCCAATTATCTGTTCTTGCTTAAACGGGTTAGTTTACTCGGTCTGTAATTCGTAATTGTGCTTAGGATTGTTCTCGAAAAATTTAGTTGATGCAAGGTGGTGGGTGATTAAAAATGAAAGGTGAATCAGGTAGTTGCCAGCCTAATCTATTCATTGGTTTAAGATATCTGACCATTAATAAAGCTAAGTGGAATCATGTCGTCTGAAATTCGTTTTTCGTAAATGTCTCATTAGTTATACATGCGCAGAAATTGAACTCCAGACAGTACATTTCCAACTAATAATTCTAATAAGTTTATCTGTTTTCTCTTATTCATATTTGCGAAATGATGATCTGAAAGAAACCTGTATAACAGCAGGATTTTAATCAAGAACTTGTGGACTGATAGCTACTACCGTGACGTGGTGATCGGGCTTACATATCACAATGAGCTACACTGACTGGAATGCTTGTTTGCTCGGGGTCCTGTTATGCCAGAAAGGTCTGTTGGGTAGGGGTAGGACAAAAGGCACTTACCATTGTAGTGCGAATTACTACACTGTGATGGGGGGTCCGAGGGCGAAGTCACAGTGCTGGTCGGCTGGGGTGTTTCCTTTGGATGATCAGTGGTGCCACCCGGATGCTGCTCTCCCTAAGGAAATGGGTTAGGGGGTTAGAAAAGGTCGGCCTAAAAGTCCAACACCCCTCCCTGCCGCGAAGCCGTTGGTATAGATTTCTCTTATTTGGAGTTAGAACAGTTAAATCTCAAACTTACGATCCTCTGAAGGCTATGTGTGACAGGCCTCAAGCAGATGTCACTTGGGCTCTGCGGTCATAGAACTACTGTTTTCTTTCAGGTACCTCGAGAAAAATAGCTCTCAACGGTGTTGGCATCTGGGAAGTATCAACCGCCCGTACAACCTAATGAAGTATAACTTGTCCTCCTCAACTGTGTCTCTTCCTTTGCCTTCCCCTCTTTATACAAATATTAGGCATCTTACACCTCCCCCAACCTCCCACTCTGCCACTATTGCTTACGATTTGAGCCATCGAAACCTCATCCCGGCCATAGATTTCATATTCGGGCTTTCAAAGTCCGAACTCTATGCCAAACCGGACAGCAAGTGTCGCATGCCATAACTCTGGAATATCTAACCATGGATGAATGCTGTGTTCCTGAGATATATGTTTACAGGACCTGAGTGTAGTTATTAAATTGACCTTACCTGGCCATAGTAGTGAGTCCTCAAAATTCACCTTACGATGAGCCGGAGATTCAATGGCTCTCAGACTCTCGTAGACCCGCTGGTGTAGGCATAGCATTAAGTTGTAGAGCAGAAAGTGCGCTTTTAGATTAGACACCGTCAACAGCCGCCTGCGTGTTATCCAACTAAATGGATAGGTAAGAACAAGGAAAGTTTGGAGGAGTAACCGATGTCTATTCGAAACCTCCGTATACGCGCCCACCGAGTGTACTTCGTATGATGCAAAGGGTAATTTGAATTCCATGAAAAGCTATCAGTTTTTCGACAGAAAGCAAAACGTTGAGATATAGTCATAACAACAGGCAGCTTTAACGCTCATGTAGGGAACTGAGCTGAGACAATCGGAAAAGCATCCTATGCTACGAACTAATAAGGGTGATCATCTGTTGCAGTTTCTTTGTGACAGTCACTTGTTTCTTACCAGGACTAACTATAAACTTGAAGAGGGACACCATCTCACGTGGTGTTCGCCGACATTGTCAACAATGGGCGCATAGATCATATTGCTATAAGACATCATTGTAGAGGATTAGTAGAGGATTTCCGCTCTTTTTGGAGCGCTATTTTGGATTTTGATCACGCGCTTGTACGGGCTTCTATATGTTTATACCTTACTGTCTCAGGAAACAGGGAGTAGTCAGGCCCATCTGTGCTCCGTTGGTAGACAAGGCTGCCATGTACGCATTTAGAGAGGAGTTAGCTAAGTATCTATATGAAAGTGACACCAATCCTCATCGTGAGGAAACCTGACATGATGTTAATTCCTCCGTGGATAGAGCGGTAAAAGCAGTTGGTAGCCTACATCGGAAGGTTAGCAAATGTCATTAGATTACCGCAACCTCATCCGAACTGGTTGATGCGAGAAGGCTGCCTCCAGCTAGTTCCGATCACAATGAAGAGCAAAAGCAACTCAAACATAGATTGATCAAGAGTCTTCCTGTTGATCACGAGCAGTGGTTGGTGACGAAAAAGACTGAAAAGGCATGAGTTTTAGGCCACACCCTGCAACTATTTAGATTTACTAAGGATCCCGGCAAGAAGACGATGGTTAGTGAGACCACAATCGAAAAGGATGGGACGCTGACAGCCTCTGAGAACAGGCACTGTAGCACAGTTCGAATGGCTCACAGCAACGCTTGAGTTGCCCAACATCTAGCCTGAACGTGAGTAGGTCGTAGACACTTCTTGAAGTTGTGAAGGTTGTTTGTAACATGAAGCGATGCACAGCAACAGAACCTGGTGATTTGCCACACAAAGGTTTTAGGGTTGGAGGTAGGAAATTATTTCCTAAAGTGACGTATTGTGGCAATATCTGACTGTGAAGAGAGTACCAAGCAAGTATGTAACGCTAATCAGACCTCTGCTGGAACTCATACAGCCACGTCAGAGCTAATGAAGAGTTATCATGTGAATCAACGACAACTAGTGGTGCTCGCCAGGGACGTCCACTGTCACCGTTCCTATTTAACTTCATCATAGACAAACTGATGGATATAGCCTTAGGTACGCCTGACTTCACAGCGATTGGCCTACTCATTGGAGGTCATCTGATTAACTTGGAGTATGCAGACGATATTGTCCTGTTTGGTGAAGACCCTGACAAGATGCAGGTTCTCCTAAACTCGTTAAGCACAGGTCTGAGTATGTTTGGAATGCTTTTCCAACCTGTCATGATGCTCCAGGAGTGGTCTGCTGCAAGTACTCCCAGTTTAATGACTGGGAGTGAAGTGGTGGGATGTGTCGACCACTTCACTACTTGGGGAATCGCATCAACCCGACAGGCTGGTTGCTGACGAAATCTCAGTCCTTTTGGCCAACTTGCATCATCTGTGGCGCCGGCGAGGTATCTGACCACCAATTAAAAGATAATTATATTGTGCTGTAGGCCGTTCTGTCTTGTTGTACGGGTGTGAGACGTGACCGTAAAAAGTAGCAGACATCAAGCGGTTACAGGTTTTCGAATAAAGGTGTCTTCGTAGCGTTGCTCGAATCTGGTGGAAACACCATATGAGCAATATTGAGGTCAGGCGAAGAGTACTAGACAAGACAGGCGAACCGATTGAAAAGGTTGTGAACCTTCACCGACTGAGGTGGCTTGGACATATAATATGCATCCCGAGCCACCACCTACCTCGTCATGCAATGCTAGGGGTAGCTGGATTAGGTGGGAAGAGGGTTCAGGATGACCAGTTCAACACATAGCACCAGTCAATGAAGCCATTTGACTGTTGGCCTGAGCCGTGTGGGGAAATGTAGGCCACCTGACTGGGGTCCCCGAGACGAAAGGAATCGGTGGTTGAAGACACTTGGTGACAGCTGAAAATCGGTCACAATGGCGCAGATGTATTCTGTCGTTGACGTCTTCTGAAGCTTGAATATTCACACTTAACCTTCATCTTCAACTGTTTTTTTCTATCACACCACTTTATATACTTTGATATCAGTCTTTTTTTTGTCCACTTGGTGTTTGTATACTTTTGTAGTGTAGCATCTTGAATCGATACACTTGTGTGCGAAGTTCTACGTTAATTTTTGTCTGTCTATCATAACTACCTACTCGACGCTCTGCTATTTGAAGTGTAAGATTGAACTCAACTTCCACTTCAGTTATGCTGTGCAGTCAAATAAAATTTAGGTCGGTGGGCGTTTTCAACTTCGTGCATTAGGCAATAAATAACGCGTTACGTTAGGGTTTGTGGTACTGTTTTGACCGTCTAAACCTTGGTACGGATCGTGACATTTGGATGTATGACCTAATCCCACGAAACACAGTTATCATATCTGCGAGGTAAACAGCTGTTTATGTTAAACAAACTTTCAAGTATTTTCTTTCCAGTTCAGATCAAACCAAGTTGGATAAGATAAGCTGTGGATTTCAAAAAAACTAAATCATCTGCTTTAGCTAGTTAAAGTAAAACTGAAGCCAATTGTAGTAGCTGTGTCCTATGGTTCGGAAACCACAGAACAATTAGCATTATCATGATTACAACTATTATCCTGTATCTATCATTCATTCGATTTGCCAACCAATATCAATTCAGTTGATTTGAATAAAATATTTTGATCACTTTTGTCGTTATTCTAAGATCTGTCATATTTTTCTCTAGGTTAGTTTGGGTATAGAACATACCCTTGTGCTAACAGATACCTCGCGCGTTTTCACGTTTGGCTCAAACTCAAAAGGTCAATTGGGTTTGGGTTTTGTATCCGAACAACCGATTTCAATACCACAGCAGATACTATGTCTTTCAGGTTTGCCTGTCCGACGTATAATAGCTGGTGGTTGGCATAGTTTTGCGCTAACTGTCAGTGGTTCACTTTACGCATGGGGTTCTAATAATCGTGGTCAACTTGGTTTAACGTATTTTGGGTCTTCACCAACTGATCAAAGTGAAGTGGCATGGAAGTCTGTGAATACAGGGTCTAGTGATGGTAGTGGTATAGATGATAGACAATCAAGAAATCGTTCCAATTCACCATCGATACTAGTCGAAGTAATGTACCTGTTCCGACTTTTGTTAAATCTCTACGAGGTTGCGAAGTTGTCTATTTGGCATGCGGGAAGCCCATACGGTCGCACTTACGCGAGACGGCGGTGTTTTCACCTTCGGTGCTGGGAGGTAAGTAGGTGATATTTTCAAAAAGATATTATTTATATTCTTTTATCAGATATTCGTTTATTGATCGATTTCAAGACGAACCTTCTCACGGAACAACACTAGATGGCACACGACTTAATGATAGCATGTTGAGTATGAGACCTAAAAGTTTTGGACTATACTCTGTGTGGTATTTTATTCTTATTATTCGTCCTTTGGGTTCATAGTGGAACATAGGGCTTCAGTAGCACATCGCTGTTCCACTCTGTTCTCTGCAGTCTTCTCAACCTCGCCCCACGACTGTCCACAAGCTTTCATTTCTTCCTCACACCATCTCCTCCATGTCACCCTCAGCTGGGACGCACGCCCAACTCTTCGTTTCCCCATTGGATTATACTCAAGGACCTGGTCTGGCATGTCAAGTCCCCAAATGGTCTTCTCAGTGTATGCCTAGTCCAACCCATCTCCACTTTCGTCTTCTGCATAGTTGTTGGGCGTTGTGGGTTCTTGGTTGGTTGGTTTGGTGCCAGCCAGCCAGCCAGCCAGCCAGCCAGCCAGCCAGCCAGCCAGCCAGCCAGCCAGCCAGCCAGCCAGCCAGCCAACCAGCCAGCCAGCCAGCCAGCCAGCCAGCCAGCCAGCCAGCCAGCCAGTCAGTCAGTCAGCCAGCCAGCCACAGTTGCTTGTTGCCTATTCTTGTTATTCTGGTCATCCATCTGATCTTCAGTGTCAGTATCGAGTGAGTGTAGGTGGCAGGTGTTGATGAATGTCTGTAGTTTGTTGCAAATGCTTTTCGTAACGCACCAAGTCTCTGAAGCCTCACATGGAAGCACTGACTTGACTGATATCAGTGTCAAAAATCCGGATGTCGTTCACGCTTTATGCTGAGTGGAGTGGAGTGGAGTGGAGTGGAGTGGAGTGGAGTAAATCTCCACAGTGGTTAATGCAGGAAGGCCTGTCTTGTTGCCTTTGTGATCCTGTAGTTGAAACGATGTTGTTTAGGTAGGGAGGCAGGTGAAAGAGATAACTTCCTTTAGATTTCTCTCGTTGATGTTGATTGGTGCTTGTTGTTGTTGTTGGTGGTGATGGTTGGGTATCTTCATCACCTCTGTCTTTTCTACATTCACCTGGAGGAAGTCCCGTCTTCGCTGCCCTGCCACTTCTGCTAACTTGTTGGTTTTCGTCTGTAGATCTTCGAGTTTGTGCGACAAGACATTAGACATAAATTATCATCATCCTGATCATCGTTGGCGAAATGCAAATCTTCTTCTGGGGTCTTTTCATCTGTCCAGCCAGCGTGTGCCCCTATTCTCGTTTCTCACAGTTGTCTGTTGCATGATCCAGTCCACTCTACTCCAGTTCAGTTCAGTCCAGTCCAGTCGACCACAATCAGGAAGCTCATCGGTGATGGTAGACGGCAGCCTTGTTTTACTCTTGTCTTCACTTCAAAGGCATTACTAAGCTTTCCATTGTGAATTACTTGGCATGTAGCACCATGTGGTATATAGCTGCTGTTGAATGAGGTTGATAGAGGTGATGTTTGTCGTACTAAAACCGTAGTATTGAAGCAGCTGCCAGTCAAATTACTTCTCGGTCGACGCCCTCGAAGGCGTTTCCGAAATCGATGAAGTTGAGTTGACTGGCATTCTATGCTCTGTTCTATGATGATGTGTAGCGTGGGGTTGTAATTTGATCTGCACATGATTTGTTTTTCTTGAAGCCAGTCAGTCAGTCAGCCAGTTCGTGTTGTAATTTTGAATCGAGAGCATTTTCCAGTCTCTCCAGGATGATGCGGCCTAATATTTTGGTTGGGGTGGATAGCAGCATGATTCCACACCAGTTTTTGGGTGACGACTGTTCTTTGGAGTTTGACAAGGTAGCCCTTCTTCCAATCTCAAGATACCTTTCCTTCCTTCCTTCCTTCCTTCCTTGCAAACCTTGTGTAATAGTGGTGTGAGCATGTTGGCTGTTGTCCCTGCATTTGTTTTCAGTGTTTCTGGCGGAATTCCATCTGGTCCTGCTGCTTCCCCGGATTTCAGCAGCTTTATGGCGTTCAGGACTTCACTTCTGCTTTTGTCGGAAGGCTTGTGTTCACTGATTGTTCTGTGGCTGGGCGTCTGTTGGTATTTGTGGACGAGTTGCAGGTGGTGGTGGTGGTGGTGATGGTCGATTCAAGAGTTTTTCGAAGTGGTTAGCTTATCGCTTCGTTTGTTTCTCCTCTTTGGTGGTATCTGAGTCTCCTTCACTATCTTTCATTGGTTTCATGTGTGTTGATCTCTCTCCTCCCAGATAGTAAGTAACCTGGTTAGGTTATTTGATATAATGATGTAAGGTCTCTGTCTCTCTTACCTGCAGCCTGTTCTGCTTCACTTGTCAGTGTGTCGTAGAAGTGTCTTTTGTCTTTGCGTGCACTCTTCTTCACTTCTTTCTCCAGTGTAGTGTTTTATAGGTTGTGTTCAGTTCTCCTAGTGTTCTTCCACTCAGGTTTCTTCAGGGCTGTTGCTCAATAAGGGGATATGACTATGGACAATAAATTATGTCCGAAACGTAATCCGGTAAACAATACTCCTTACACGTTGTGATAAATCTAAGACGTTAATAAAAATGGAATTATATTCCACCGCAGTGCACAAATTTTTCTCGTATATTAGTTTGGACGTATTTGTAGACTAACAGACAGACATGCAGTCAGCATGGGCCCTGAAATTATTCCGTGGTGGTTCATGTAGAGATGCCTCATATCATCACAATAGGTTACAATGCACTAAGATTAAAGAAATGGAGTGGAATACAGTGAAAAGTAGCGGAAAAATGTATAAAAAAACGAAGGAGAGAATACTGAAATTCGTTATGACGACTAAAATGTAGATAATGTGCAGATACATCTTCACCACTGACATCGTTTTAGAGCGATGTCACATAATCTTGAACTACTGGCTTCTGTTTTCACACTGACCTCAACTGGGAAGTCTGCATGGATCAAACACAATGACACATGGCCGATGCTACACAGGCAGTCATGACCGAACACCTGAAACCTTCTTATATCCTCTACTTTTAGTAGCCATATTTCGAAACCAGATGATCGGACACAGTGGACTACAACACAGTACACCTAACGCTTACTAGGTAGTTGGGTGTCACGGCTGTATGGCAGTTGGCGTAAGTTGGTGGAGATCAATGGAGCTTTTCTTATTTATGTGGAGATTTTGTCGGTCACTGAGCCACCAGATCTTATCCGATTTCCTGAGTAAGTGAAGAGGTTGACACTCTCAACCATTTCACTTCGTATTGTTAGATAAAGACACACTGGAGGCCAGTTGTGGAGCAATAGTTTGACTTTGGATGGCGAGAAACGAAACGCAAACATTCTTGAGTTACCATTCAAAGTGTCCAGAAGACTTTGCACTTTGATGGTGGTTTGGTTTTATTTGAGCTTTGAGGGAACATGCTTGACGGGCACCACTTGACGTATACAACTCACGTGATAACACGTCATAGGCTGTAACATTCCCGTAGGTGTTGTAGTACAGAGTGTTCAGTGGAGTGATGCACTTATGCATGAACCCTTCCAGAGAGAAACGTTGTGGCGTTCTGGTCGAGAAATGCAGCTAGTGTCAGGCGTGTAGGTGTATCTTCATTCCAGAACCAGGTGGAGAGTGAATATCTGGCTAATACTCTCATGACGAAGTGTAATGCCTGTCTGGTTTTGTTGAGTTCACCTTTCTCTAATATAGGTGTAAAACTTGGGTACTGTGGTAGGAATTAATTCCATATTAGATTTGTTTATTTGATTTATAACACAGTGACCTAGTATTATTTACTTGATATCATTTCGAGCATAAGTTATTGCTCATAATCATATCAATGTAATCACACTACTTTCGACATTTGATTCTTATAGTTATGTCACTTTATATGCGTTGGTGTTATTGGTAGCGAAATTTCCCATATCTCTGGTATAGGTGTTGCATCATTTCTATTACATATGTTAAGTGTTGAGTCGATGAACAAAGATTCAGTAACCAATCTCTCTCTCTCTCTCTCCACCTAATTATATGGGACTTAAGTACTGTGGCTTTACCCCCACCCTATTGTGTGGTTGTGTGTTAATGCATGCATTGCAATAGCCGAGCTTTTATTCTAGATTATTGATCTTATTTAGGTCTGTTATTTTATATTTAGCTAAATTCTTATGTTCGGCTATTGTAACTGACCTCAACCGACCACTTTGACCCATATACTTGACCTCACAGTCACTCCACTCAAGATGTCTAACAATGATCGAACCTAGAATCATAGAGACTATGTGTGTGAGGCTGTTTCTCTCGTAGTTATCACAAGAGAATTTCGCACCTTTCCTGATGGCTGGAACAATGATAATTTATGAGGCCAGTCAGAAGGTATCGTATCTGACTTCCGTGCAGTTCCAGACACTTCAGTCAGGTTGACAAGTACTTCTCGGCCACCACTCTTAAATGCCCCAGTGCCAGTTCGTCTGGCCGTGCTATTCCCTCTGATTTCAGGTTTTATGCAGCTTTCTCGACTTCTGTGAGTGTTGTAGGTCCCATCTCAATGTTCCATTCCGGATGCGACTGGATAGTGGGTGGTGGAGTAGTAGCTTGAACTGTTGTAGCTGAACTGTACCTCAAAGTTTCACCCATTGTAGCAGTCCTCCCTCCTGGGAGTGGTTAATAGATCTGTCCTTCTCTGCTGTAATCTTACTGACCACTGGCCTTTTTCTGTTGGTTTTCCTGAGAAGTCTGTGTAAGTTCCTGGTGTTTCCTATCACCACTACTTTTTATATCTCTAACATCTTCAACCAGCCACTCTGCAACCATTATCAATTCTCAAAACCAGTAAAACACCATTCCTAGTCTTCTGAAACCGTGCTACCAATTTCACATTGGAGCTTTCTACGTCCAAACACTATCCGAATCGGACAACAGACACCTCTTGCAACAATTCTGGAATCTCGAGCTATGGACTATGCTGTGTTCATTAGAAACATATATAGGAGCCGCGTGAGGTTATTCACAGTCTGACCAGGCCAACGCAGCTAATCTTAAAAAATTACTTTACGAGTATCCACAGATTGCATGACTAGTATCTGTGGCTTGTTTGGTGTAGGCACAGCATCAGGTTTTTTGAACTGAATGTGTACTTCTCCACTAGATATCAGTCAAGAGCCATCTTTGTGGTGTCCGACCTAATGGATCTGTCAGATGTAGGGAGAGTTGTGAGACTCACTAACACCTACATATAATCTCTGCATCCGCGACCACCGACTGCATTTCGGCTGATACAAATGATTACTTCTACCAAAAGCTTTCAGTTTTAGTACAGAAAGCAAAACGTTCAGATATGATCATAGTTGCAGGTGAATTAAACGCTCAAGTAGCAATCTACGGCATCCTATGCCAACAAACTGACAAAGGTGATCGTCTGTTTCTAGTCAGCACTAATATCAAGCATGGAATGGGACACTGTACCACTTGGCTTCCATTTACAACAAGCCAGTGTTGGACACATAGATCATATTACTATGCGCCGTCGTTGGAGATTATTGGGAAAAATCGCCACTATTTCTGGAGTAACTGTTGGGAATCCGACCAGGTTATCAAACGTCATTGAATTTCATCAGCGTCATACGAACTGATTGGTGCTACAAGATTGATTCCAGCTGGCTCTGACCACATTGAAGAGCGAAAGCAACTTAAACGTAAGCTAATCAAGGGTCTTCGCGTTGATCGTGAGCAGTGATGGGTGGTAACAAAAGCGAAAGAGAGGGAGAAAACATCAGCACTAGGCAACACCTGGCAAGTAGTGAAGTTAATTAAAGATACCGGCAAGAAAACGACGGTTAGTGAAAATATCCCTGTAAAGGATGGGACGCTGAAAACCTTTCAGGATAGTCGACCAGAATATTGGGTAGAACACTGAAGACCAGTTCAGCTGGACCACAGTAGCACTTACGTCGGATAGAATCCAGCCGGCCTGAATCTGAATAGGACGTAGATGTCAGTCATACAACTGTCCTCGGAATTGAGAAGTCTGTAACCCTAAATGATCCTAAGCAGCAGGACATGCTGGTTTTACAGCTGAAGATTTTGAGAGTAGAGGTAGAAAATTACTGAGAAGAATAACAGAGATGCTATTTAGTTTATAAAAATCAGTAGTCCCGTCACACTGATCTGCTACACTGGTTATTTCAATTTGTAGGAAAGGGGAGAACTGTTCTCATGATAACCACAGGGAAATCAGTTTATCAAACGTCGTGTTGAAGACCCTAAGGTTGTTAGTTATCCGGCACTCAATTAGAGCTCGAGGAAACCAGGCAAGTTTCAGACGTGGACCAGGGTGCATCGATCACATTTTCACTCTTCTTCAGGTTGTGGAACACAGGCATACTTCACAGGGGTTGTCACTTGTCGTATTCCATGACTAGAAAGCGCCATCAAACTCTGTGAACCAAGGGGTGTTGTGGCAGTGTCTGATTGTGAAGAGAGTATCAAGCAAGTATATAACACCAATCAGAAGTCTCTACTTGTCATCTGAAGTGACGACCACCAATAATGTCGTCCACGGATGCCCGCTGTCAGCATTCCTGTTCAACTTCGTTTTAGATGTAGTATTGTACATAACTCTAGGTATATTTGACTTTACAAGGATTGATCGACTGCCTTGGGAGCATGCGGTTGACTCGGATTACGCAAACGATATTTTACTGTTAGGTGAAGACTAATTAAACTCAGGGTGTTTTGAACGCTTCAGCCAGGAATCTGTCTATGTTAGGCTTGCTTTTCGCAACTGTCTAGTGTAAGATGGTGTTTCATATTTAGTCTGCACCGACTGCGATTTTAAGGATAGTGAAGGAAGTGGCAGAATGCGTTGACCACTTCACTTTCATAGTTGCGCCAGCCGAAATAGGCTGTTGGCTGACGACATCTCATTTCGTATACAGAAGGTTCATTTGGCTCATTATACAGTCTCCCAAACCTTTTGACAATGTTTTGAGTACTCTTCCACCTGAATGGAAATTGTTTTAGCTAGGCTGTTCTACAACAATGTCTCATCTAACGATTGGTAACCAATTGACTACTTCATCTTCTTGGGAAGTTTCATCAACCAAAGTGGGTTAATGGTGCACTTATCTATTCGTTGATAAAGGGCTCGTGTACTTTTGTGAATTACATTAACATATTTTATTACTATGGAAGATCTGTTAAAGGCATAGGGTTTACGTTGACTTCCGGTATTTGATGACCGTCACCGTCATAGCCTCGGCTGCATGTACTGAAATCATCATTAGTTAATGTGATAGGTATGTAGTAACTGGAATATATATATATATATATATATATATATATATATATATATATATATATATATATATATAAGGTAAGTTAGTTGATCGTGCTGTCTGCTAAAGTGTTTTCTTACTTGTTCACAGTTTATGTACCATATGAAGTTGAGTAGAATCAAGTTTAAAGGAAATTAAGGGTGACTGGACCAAAACATAGCACTCACCCACAGAATGTTCAGCTGTTTGTTTGGACCATGTACAAGTTCAAATCCCTTAACTATTCTCTGCGAGTGATGAAAATTTAAGTGGATATTGTTCCCAGTCGATTTCATTTGCGCAGGTACATTAAAGCATTACCTTCAGCTGGAACATGGATATTCTTTTATCGTACGCCCTATATTTCACTTCTGATGTGATTCATTTGCTGACCTCCTTATTTATTGAACATTAGTTGCATTGTCTGTCGTCTAGCCCCGTGATGAATCGTCCTAAAACAAACTTGAAACAATTATCATCCACATCCTGAGCTACAAATCTTCTCTATTATTAATATAATCGTAAAAGTTGGGCATTGTGCTAGAGCGTAATTCCACATTAGATTTACTTGTTTGATATAAAGCACAGTGATACAGTATTATTTACTGGATGACGTTTTGAGCATAAATTATTTCTCATAATCATATCAACATCGAATTACTTCTCTGCTGTTGTGTAAACTAGTTTTCATCTTTTGTCAATGTCTCCTCGCTACGGCGTTGCGAATTGTGACAAGTTGGGTCGATGCGCAACTGTTTGTGGCCATGCGTCATTCCCGCTTGTCTCATGCTTAGGGTACCTGAAAATAGCTACTGATTAACGTAATTTTTGAATTTGGTGCAAATCGTCATTGGTTCATGGTTTTGGATCATCTCTTAATCCCAGTGCTTTGGATTTTACTCAACCATACTCTTGCTTCTGTCATTTCTTCACACTAAGTTGATTAGGTATACCAAACATATGTTCCAGTCAACACAGGTTCACCACTTTATAAATCACCTTAGATCATCCTAACATCAACTTGGTATAGTTATTAGTCTGATCACATGTAACTAGTTATTCAAAGATGATGTTCATCAAAATTTACATAGACTTATCAGATTGTTTTTCCTGGAAAACCAAGGCATACTGCATCTGAAACCCGAAATTTCCCGTCTGTTTTTAGATAAAGAGAATTCGCTATAGCTCACTGATTTACGCATTCAATTTTCCGTTGGCAGGTTGCGAACTCGGGAGGTTAAAAAAAGCTAGGTGTTATCAACCCTAGCACACTTTTCTAAACGGGGTAGCATGAACTGCCCTATTATTTTGTGGGCTTATACGTTTTTTGTTTAGGTAGATAGTCATTTTGTGATTAATCTTGCTGTATATTCCATACTGTTAAAGCTTAAGACATTTTTAATAGCATAAAACATCTGTCTTGGTTTTACTTATTTCCCAGTTAATTGGCAGTTAGGAACAGCTGTTAATACTCAGAAAGGTCTAGATAGTGGCATTCCTACCCTAAAAGTATTGATGAAACTGTCTTGGCATAGTTTTAGACCTGGAATCTTTCATGTGAACGAATCATCAACAACCCAATGACTTGGAATTAATAGTTTGGTATGCACCAAATTTGGATGGTCATTCATTTACTTGAACTGTCCTTCAATAAAATCTGTGGTTACACTTCTCAACTAATTTCTTTTAACCTTGTCATTTGAATGTTAGTTTTTACTTTTATTGATTAAATCAACACCTGTTTGGTGGATTGGTGCTCATGTAGTTCTCCATTTTTTTTGCTGCTTTGTGATAATTTTAATGGTGTTATGTATGACATGCTTGGACTTTTGTATATACTGATCAGTTACATAGTAGGAGATATCTGCATATATATTGGTATTTTTCGGTGCCATTTCACATTTTTATATCTGATTTCTATAATATTTTGTTTTCAGACATGGCCAGTTAGGTCATAATGAATCAGTCGTCGGTATATCTGTACCTCGCAAAGTAACAGAATTTATGGGTAACGTTGTCACTCAAGTAGCCTGTGGTCGATTTCATACAATGGCACTGATTCCTAAAAATGGTCGACTGTTCACATTTGGTCAAGGTAGTAATGGACAGTTGGGTGTCGGTGATTCTTCGAATCGTTTATTACCTTGTCCAGTTAAAGGTAGTTATTGTCTTGCACTATACTTAAAACTGTTTATGTTAATTGATCGGTAAATCGGGTTATTATTCAATACTCTAGCAGCTTTGATACTAGTCACTGTCCTCTATCATTGAAACTGGCTGCAAGTGGCATGGATGTAAGCAATTTTCGGCATAATGCCACAAAATGAAGAATGGTTGTGTTACAGTATCATCTGTCGCTTCATCATAACTCCTTAGGCAACACTCAAGCGGTAATCCAACTCATTTCATGAATTACATCCATTACGAACTTTTGCATTGTGGAGGGTATCCATTTGTCATAAATATATTTGTAATGGATGTTTACACACAATGATGCTATTTGGTTTTGGTAATATTTCGAGGAAAATTGCTGTCCCTGATCACACAAATTGTAGGGATTATTTGTTCATTTCATAAAGATGTTATCGAATATGTTTCAAAAACGAAACAGTAGCGGTCGTGCTGCGTCTTCCCTAATTTCTTTTTAACATGCTGACAATTAAAACAAAGGTCAGACAGATAGTCAATATCTCCATAGGACATAGCATTATTACCTAGAGACCCGAGGTGCCACACCTTATATCAGCACATCAAACGATCCATCAAAATGAAAGAAAGAGAAATGAGAAAGAAAGTAGGCAAGATTAGCAGAAAGGAGTAGAGAGATAGGAGGGAGGAATGAGAGAATACTGAAATTCGTTATGACGACTAAAATGTAGATAATGTGCAGATACATCTTCACCACTGACATCGTTTTAGAGCGATGTCACATAATCTTGAACTACTGGCTTCTGTTTTCACACTGACCTCAACTGGGAAGTCTGCATGGATCAAACACAATGACACATGGCCGATGCTACACAGGCAGTCATGACCGAACACCTGAAACCTTCTTATATCCTCTACTTTTAGTAGCCATATTTCGAAACCAGATGATCGGACACAGTGGACTACAACACAGTACACCTAACGCTTACTAGGTAGTTGGGTGTCACGGCTGTATGGCAGTTGGCGTAAGTTGGTGGAGATCAATGGAGCTTTTCTTATTTATGTGGAGATTTTGTCGGTCACTGAGCCACCAGATCTTATCCGATTTCCTGAGTAAGTGAAGAGGTTGACACTCGCAACCATTTCGCTTCCTATTATTGGACTGTTTTGTAACCATCTTTTCCTACATCTTTTGTTACCTTTTATCCTTTTATGACAATCTTATTTCATCTTTCTTGATGCACTCAGTGACAAATTTTTTCAGCATTTCGTTTTTCAAGGTATGATCTCTGCGAAAATGTTTTTTTTTTGCAATTTTTCTCTATTTCAGGTCATTGGGTATCTTCTTGTAGGCTAAGTGAACAGATCGCTATTGGTGATGATTTATCATCTGTTAAACGGTTTGTCATCCGACGAATATTCTCTGGCGGCGATCACACCTTTCTACTCGCAAAGTTATATCAAGTATGTAGTCAAGTAGTCTTTTATTCATCATAATTGTCTTTTGCATCATCATTTTTTATAATAGTTTAGTGTTGAATTCAATCCGGTGCTACCCTAAGGTTTTGTCTCGCCAGGATAAACCATCAGTGAATAAAGCAGTTTGTATTGTTCATCAGTGAAGTCATTTGCTGCCTGAGTCACTGGGGCCAATCGACTTTGGTTGTGTGAATCATATTCAGACCCTGCTTAAAATAAAAACCGGAAATAAGCCTGAAATAAATCCTTCATTGTTGTATATTTGTTTAGGTGAGGTATCTCGAAATATGTTTAAGCAGTTGATTTCCCCTTGGTATTGCCAGGTTATGCCAACGTCCAACGAATATTACCTCGAGATTTCCCGTTTTTTATTATGAGTAATGTATTCATGCTTATTTTCTCACACATGGTTTGCATAATTTTTTGGTGATCTTGTGCTGTCTTTCCAGTCGACAGTGCATTTTTGAATGTTAGAAAAAAGAGTAATCAAATTTATAGCAGAAACTAGATAGTATTAAATATTGTATGATTCATCTTGTTGTCCCATCACTTTTCAGGGTTTTATAATTGTTAGAATTTTTGTTCTGAAGTAAAGTTTGATTTCATTTTTTGTATTGTGTGCACTAATATGTTGGTAAAGCATGTGTCTACTAAAATAATTGCTGCAAAGTATGTGTAAATTAACGCTGATGATGATCAACGTTGGAGAACTTTCCAAATGAAAGCAAAACTGCAAATGCGACGTCATCTGAATATCTACAACACCAGCGCATTAGAAATTCCTCAGTATCTCCACATGTTAACAGTGTTGGTTCAGTTTAGTCGATGGTCTCAATACATTGTGTGTGTATGTGATCAGTTTAAATTTCTAAATTGTTGTGAGAGTTTATGGATGACGCACGTTACGCATAACTGTCTATGCTCAAAGGGGTTTGTGTGATTGACACCGTCTAAATGAATTATGTCAACCCACCACTGTTCAGGGGTGAGATCTGGAGAACAAGTGCACTAATCACTCGGCGATCAGACTTGAATATAACTACGACTTAACGAGCTATACTGGCTCGAATTGTATTCCTTGACATCCTACCATGGTAGGAACGTTCGTTGGATAGTGATAGGCTTAAAAGTTGTAACCGTCACTGTGTGAATAGCTTACGTTATGGTGGGAGTCTAGGGGCAAACTCATACTGTTGACTGAAGGGAATGTGAAAAAAGTAAATTGTTTCTCACAGGTGACCATAAGTTAATACTATTCCTTCTTTCCTGAGGAAAAAGAGGATGGAAGCAGAAAAGGTTGGCTCCAAAAATAGTACACTCATCACCCTGTGGTCTTCTGGTGCTAACGATGTGCGTTTCATAGTTTGATGCAACACAACTAAAATCAAATATCGAAATTTCTGAAAAGTAACCTGTGACTGACTTCGAGCGGATATCCCTAGGGCTCCATGGTCCATGGTCCCGCACTGCTGACACCAAAACATCATATTTTTCAGGTACTTCAAAAAGAGATAACCTTTCGTAGTGTGAAGAGTCGAGAAGTATCAACGCTGTTGCATCTCTGTCACCACGTAAGTTCACTTGGTTATTTATCAGCCTTCCACCTTTTTGCTTCACAGTAGTATGCAAAAATTAGTGGATAGGAAAGACTGATATCAAAGTAAACAAAGGTGTATGAGACAAAAAGAAATTCAAAAATCAAGGTAAGGCTGGAAGACGGTTCAGGGTGGGTAAATCAAATGTGGCTCCAGCCCATATAGTCCTTGATTGTTTGTCTGAGCCGCATAGGGTGATATAGACTGGTGTTCCTGAGACGATATAAATCAGTGGTATAGAATTCTGGGTAACATGGCTTAAAATCTGTCACTGGCGGAGATGTATTCATTCTTTGACGTCTTCTAAAGCTTGAATATTTACACCAACCGTTATCTTAAAAGTATTTATTCTCTCACACAACTTTGTCAGTTTTGATATCACTCTTTTTCGCTCCATCTGTTTTTTTGTACTACTGTGAAGTGTTGCAACTTGGGTCTATGCACCTGTGTACGTGGTTCTACGTTGATTTCTTCAGTCAGTCAGTGTCATTACCTTCATAAACGTATTAGCATAGGATGTTGAGACCCCAGTAGAAAGTCTTGTTTAGTTTTTGTTAGAATCCAATGGTTCACACTTTCCAAATTCACAACGTTGTGTGAATACCACGTTGTTACTGTGTATTTGCTTTCGCTCTCGACTTGTTTAACATACAGATGAAGTATACACATTAGGAGTTTTGGAAATCAACTTACTAGTCAAGTACAAATGAACACTGAGTTATTGTTCAGTTGTGTGCCTTGTGTGTGAGTGTGTGTGTGCCGGGGGAGGCGGATGAAGAGGAATGAATTAGTGTTTATGACTTTCACTACTGTTAACTGATTATAATTCGAGTCAGAAAAAAGGTGACAGTGTTTTGATAACTTTGGCGACTATTCAGTCATATATTCATGCTTTCTTCTTTCATGAATCCTTTTCGCATCTACGGCGTAAATTTAGAAAGTTCTAATTGATAGATAGTTGTCGTCAGATTATTTGTGGCCAGCTAACTTTATTCGTTCCAACATTTTCAGATAATTATAAATATCTGGCATTCGTTATATTAACCTATCTCAACTGCCTTGTGTTTGGAGCTCTGAAAAGCCTGCAGAATCATATCTGCTGCTGAAACCTGATAGTGTATAAAAGAGCTAATTGTTTTTAATCCATGATGAAATGATAGACACTCCTTTTGAAGCTATGTTGAAGTTAGGAGAGACAGTGGTTCACATCTTGACGAAACTGCTCAAGATAAATATTACTAGTAAAGGGAACTTGAATGCACCGAAAACTAACGTGGTTTCGATTTCCTTTCCTCCATAATTCACCTAAAAACTAACTTCTTGTTAATTTTTATGTTGTTTACATTTACCTACAAAAATACTGAAATCGATTCGAAACTACTCAAATTTTGTTCGAAAGATGCATGCACACTTTTTGTTTGATCCTATATGAAGGTTAACGCCTATGTACTCTTTCAATATAAGTTCTTCGTTTGGTAATGTACTTTTAATCAATGCAATCAGCATCATTTTTGGTCATATATATCCTCTAATAATTTTGCATTTTTAATTTTCTATTTGTATTTGTTGTTCTTATTACAATGAATGTATAAAGCTCACATTTACCAATAAATGTATACAGCAAGTTGGTTTTAGTACGTTTAATCATTCAAGCTTCTTGTTACGTCACGTTTCATGTAATTTCTTAGAAAAACTTAACTCTAAGATTTGGATCACTTAGATTTCACACTGCGAAATGAATTTCGATAATTCAACTCTGCTGTTGTAATAGTGTTGAAACATTGAATGTAAACTTTTCATTGTCTAACTTCATCTTTTCCCAACTACAGTATACATGGTGCTTAATAATTTCCAGTAAGCGTGACCTATCTTACTTGCACAAAAGATATCATTGAAAGTGAAATTAGACTGGTCAATGAAGTATTAGAGCAGGAAGAATAGCTTAAAACCTCTTTTGTTGTAAGTACCATTTCAGTATTCAATTTGCAACGTCTGCGTCTGCACTACCCTAGCTCTTGAAATGTGACTTTTTGGTTTCAAAACTTTATATTCATCCATAAGGTCATTAGTGGCTAGACATAAATATACAGATGAACTGACTCGAAAACTTGTCCAAAACGCCAGGAAGAAATGACGAATACACAGTGATGAATCAAATTTTAGAAACTCCGAAGTGGATAAAAAGTGAATTAACCTGTGCTAATGTAGTTGATTTTGACCCGCATTACTATCATCATCCCAGTGCTCAAGAGCAGTACCTATTCACCCAACACTTTCTCTAACCACTTATACCAACCATCAGAGACTTTATGCATCGATGACATGTTTCAGTTTAACCACTTTTTTTTCTAACCCTATCCTATTAACACAACGTTTGAGTTGGCCAGTTTCAAGATATTATTCCACCCCACTTACCGGGTTTCGAATACTGGTTGATGTATAAAGCTGCATGTAGTTGCTGCATTTCGTTGTAATTTCTCCTATGTTGAAACAAGGAACTCAATATGACATTTAGCAAACCTTTAGCCTAAATACGGTTACTGTAACTAACCTAAGGAGATGGATTCGTAAATTTGAACCTTAATAAGGTGTGATTGACTGCATTAGAAAAAACTTATTTCCCTAGGACTACATTTCATTTTTTGTAAGTATACATCTTTAGAGTTCAATATCATAGTGTGTGTCTAAATGACTTTGAAAACCAAAACTAAATAATATTATTATGTGTAAACATTCGTTATAAATATATTTATGATAGGTTTTGAAAACAGCTGAACTCTAGTGTCATTGGTTATCTTAGCAACCAGACCAACTGTAGATATAACAGTGGCCATAATACCCACTTGAAATTATCTTATGTACTCACACCTTGAATAAGGTTATCATTATTTATCTTGGAAATTTATTTTATTTTGGAAGTTACATATAAATAACCATGGTTACTTGGAATAACTATTGTAACTAGTTCTTAATTCTAAGAACTGAGCTATGGACAATATATTTTGTATAATTTGGGAAAAAGTCTGTTCCAGCAGTATCCCTAATGTCGAAGTTACCAGAACATTCTTCACACATCTATACAGTACAGATTTCTTGTTATTCTTACGTCGTTTCAAGTTATTCACCTTCAGTCGTCCTTGTTTATAACTGCGATAGGTTGATTTGTTTTCACATTGTTTGCAATGACTCCTTTCACATTCGTGGGTGAGATTGGTTTTCTCAAAGTTCTAGGTATATATTTCTGTATTTCTTGTCAACTACTCGCAATCATCCACTAACATATCAAGTGTAACCCAGTCGGTGGTTAAAGTTTCTGTAACTCAAAACATCCAGATGGGAAGAATTCACGAAAATCGGAAAAACTGTAGTCAAAAATCCTCGAGTGCCATG